TCTCAACAGGGGAATATGTTCCACCTAAACTAGTATGAAAACCTATACCCTTGCCAAACTGGCACAATACCCTACTTTTTACTTTCTCTTAATTATGGGGAGAAGCTTTCCATTCATTTTCAAATGATCTACCTCTGACAAAAGTGCCGGGTCATTGCTTAAGACATCTGAAACCCTTCTGGATAAAGGTCTGCAGCTTCTGGCCTCTGGAGTAGCCTTGTAGGAGTTCTTCATACTTTGTTCGCGGCACAATGGCAAGTGTTTCCCAACAGGATTTTGTGAGACTGTGGTGGGTGGACATCAATCCCTCTAGGGGGGTCCGGGGCATGCCCCCACAGAGGAAAATTTTGTAGTTAAATTTAAAGTTAAATTCATCAATCTGGTGCACTTTGAAAGTTCAAAATTAAGAGCTCCAACACAGGTTCAGTGTGCAAACTAAATGAAGTTCCAAACGTAGGTTCGGGAGGAACCTAATCATTCAGTCCTGTGTCAATCATTATTACGAGCCTATATAAGCAGCTCTCATTGCACCTTCTCAGTGTCAGTTCTTCCGGCATCCCTCCACCTCCCCATCTCCTCCTCAATTTCTGTTCTGCCTCTAGCTAGTACCGCAATGGAGGAGATTTGAACTCTGAGCTCAAGCCGAGCCTCGGGTTCGAGCCTCCATTGAGGACAGCAAGCCAAGTTCGTTTACCATTAACCATCAGGACTGGATGGGCAGGCGAACTCGTGAAACGAAGAAAAAAGCTGGTGAATTTACTTGTACTTCAACCATCTTTTTAGTTGTGATCTCCAGCTTCTGTGAAAACAGTTTTACAAACATTACTAATTTAATGAAATACTGTGATCATTTGCCCATTAAAATGTTGAAAATTATGCAAATGTGAAAACGAAGCGTAACTGGTGGCTGTTGCATTCCCAAACACGCGCTAACCTAACAGCACATGCAGAAATAGAGTTCACTGCATTCACTGTGATCTGAGCCACTCTGAGGCGCGCAAAACACCGGATCACGAGCTGATCGCGTGCGCGCTTCACTTTGAAACATGCAGTGCAAACAGGCTTGATAAGTCATATTACGCTTTCGTTTGTAATTCGTTTGACGGAATATGGTGTTTGCCAAAGCAACGGTGCAAAACACAACTTTAAAGACCTTTTATGGTACAATGAGAAGTATAAATATATCTTTTTATTACGAAACTGTGGTGGGACAGATTAGACTGTGGTGGGCACCACACTCTAGTGGGAAACACTGCACTAGTAGTCACTAGGAATCAGTCAGAGTGAGAGTTAATGGGCTTAAATGACCTGATTAGACTGTTAAAAAAACACTCAAAACTAGCACTAAAATTAATAAAAGGACACAGATTATACAGACATTTCATATATAGGCATTTATACTTGCATTTATCATGTACTGAATTGTAGATTATGTGTAATAGATTACACTTTCATGAAAACAGTTGATTTGTAGATGTTGTCATTACACACACGGGCGGATCTAGAACATTATTTATAGGGTGGCATGAGGTCTATGAGGGGTGGCAACACCAAAGCAAGTGCCCATGCATAGTTTTTTGGGAATTTATGTCCTGATATACACAGTTGTGTTCACAAATATTGCATTACCACGAAATAATCATCTATACTGTTTAAAATAAAAAATAAATAACATTTCAATATCCATGGCACCAAGTTAAGACACTAAAAAAAAAAAGAAAAACATCAACAGATGCTAAATGTGTCTGGGCATGTATCACTAAAGCAGATGAGCAGATTTATTAATATTAAATGGCTACTTAGTTGGTTTAAATAATGTTTTAGTGCAAGTTTATGAGTTTGAATTTCCTAACATTAGAAAGAAATATATCAAAGCAGTGAGACTGGATCAGTTTTGCAAACAATGTTTGTGTTTCTGTTAACAGAGGTGTGTGATACTCTAGCAGCACCCCAGCAACTGCACAGCAAGAGCCTAGCAACCACCCAGAATGTCCTAGCAACACTTTAGCAAACACCCAGAACATCTATGTCATAGTATCCAGCTGGTGTGCCCTCTTTAGCCACTAGAGGGCACTTCTCCCTTCACGGACATTCTGTTACAAACTCCATTTCCCAGACTACATTGCTGTCTCATGTAAGATGATTGTTTGCACCTGCCAAGCCAAAGTCTGCTCACGTCATGCCTGTCAAGCCAAAGTCTGCATACCTCATGCCTTTCAAGCCAAAGTCTGCTCACGTCATGCCTGCCAAGCCAAAGTCTGCTCATGTCATGCCTGCCAAGCCAAAGTCTGCTCACGTCATGCTGGACACTTAAGAGCCTCATCGCAAGATGGCCGCCACGCCTGAGTCCCTGGCCAAGATGGCCGCCACGCCTGAGTCCCAGGCCAAGATGGCCGCCACGTCTGAGCCCCCAGCCAAGATGGCCGCCACACCTGAGTCCCTGGCCAAGATGGCCGACATGCCTGAGCATCACCAAGCCACGGCTGTCACGTCAGAACCTCGTCATGTCACGGCTGCTACTCCTGAGTCTCGACCCATCATGACTGCCATGTCAGAGCCTACAGTCAAGATGGCTGCCATGCCAGAGCCTTGTCATGCCATGGCCACCTTGCCAGAACCCCGTCATGCCATGGATGCCATGCAAGTTTCCCCTAAGAATTTTTTTTGGGGGGTGGCTATAGTACCCAAGCTCCTGTGGATGCGGAGCTTGGGCCAGGACTGATGAGACTGATTGCCAGTGTGATGGATTCACCACTGAAGTCAGTGCGAGCGGCTGGCATCCCAGTGGTCTCTACGTTTTGAGTGTGTGGGCAGCACACTGCACCCCAGAGGCCTCTTCTGTCCAAGAATCTGCCTCAGAGGCCTCTCTTGTCCATGAGTCTGCCCCAGAGGCCTCCCCTTTCCATGAATCTGCTCCAGTGCCTCCAGAGGTGGCGGCTTCCACTGCAGAACCTCCCGAGGTGATGGCGCCCACTCATGAAGTCACTGTCTGTCCTGTCACGGCCATGGAGGCCGTTCATGAACTCACTTGTCTGTCCAATCATGGCCATGGAGGCCGTTCACGAACTCAAAGTCTGTCCTGTCACGGCCAAGGAGGCCATTCAAGAACTCTCTGCCTACTCTGTCACAGTCAAGTGGTCTATCCATGTCTCTGCTCCACCATGGCTCCCTGCTCTGCCGGCACCACCCTGGCTCCATGCTCCTCTGGATCTGACCTGGTGGACTTCTGCTCCACGGTTTCACTGTCTGCCTCTGTTCCATGGCCCAGGTCCGCCATTGTTCCACTGTTTGCCTCTGATCCAAGGCCAAGGTCTTCCATTGATCCACAGTCTACCTCTGATCCATGGCCCAGGACCTCCATTGATCCACAGTCTGCCTTTTCTCCATGGCCCAGGACCTCTATTGTTCCACTGTCGGCCACTGCTCCATGGCCCAGGTCCTCCAGTGCTTCATGGTCCAGGCCCACCTCTGCTCCACAGTCTAGACCTGTCCTTGCTCCAGGGTCCAGGTCCACCATTGCTCCATGACCCATGGTCTTGCCCATTGTTCCATGGTCCATGTCATGATCCAGGTCCTGTTCCCCTTCACGGGCCTGGCCCTCCATCCCACCAAATTCTATGTGATATTAGTAATTTTCAATACTATTTAGGGCAGATAGGGTGGATAGTATGCACATTGGGATGCAGGGTGTGTTTTTAGAACAGTAAAAGCTTTTTTATTGTAGTCGCAATGTTATATTGAGTCACGTTTATCATAAAACAGTGATAAAAGCATATATACCCCCACTTTATTAGTATTTAAATAGTGTATGATTATGTTGAAATTTATTCTTGAATTTTTCATGAGTGTAAGGTTTACTGTATAATAAGCACTGTTGCAACAGTTCTGATTTAATATTCAGAAAATAATTTAATAATTGCAGTAAATATGGTTAAGATTGTGATACAACAAATAACTGTTCAAATGACTGTTAATTTTGCTACTGCATCACTCACTTTTCTTAATAAGGTTGTCAGCCATACTGTAAATTGCATATCATGTATCTCTTATGTTTTATCATTTTTTTTAATTAAGTAATGTGCAGTCAGATTTTGTATTTCTTTCTTTACCTCAAACAAATCAATTTTAATGACCAAGTAAATTGTATACATTCCTTAGTTTTGAAGGTAAAAAAAAGAACACTGATATTAAATCGGTATCAATATCGGCCGATACTCAGAATTTTTGGTATTGGATCGGTTCTGAAAAAGTGGTATCGTTGCATCCCTGCTGTAAAGCCCTATTCAGATGGGATTATTTTTACAAGGGTAGATGGAGTAATGTAATTTTACCACAGGACGTCTGTAATATAAATGGCCAATTCGCACGAGATAAGAAATCTCAGAAAAACAACCAGAAGTGGAGGGGTAACTATTTATGCACCACCATCACCTCCCTGTCGCCATGCGAGTGCATATACATATATATATATAAAACAGTCAGGTCCGATCAAACAATTTATTATTTAAATTAAATTCTGATTGGATTCTGTTGGTAATAGGCACTTACCAAAAGCTAAAAGAAGTTTTGTGCCTCTAACAAGTATATTTGACCTTTTTTTATCTGAATGGTATGCTGAAAACACTTGAGGTTTGCCACAGACTTGTCCCACTGCTAATGCAACTGAATGCTTCTTCAAGTTCCTCTATACTAAAAACCACGGAAAGCTACTTTTAAACCTTAAATGATGGAATATTTATGTACTGTTGTATTTTCTAGTTAATTAAGAAATAAAACAATTGTGAAGACAGTGAAACACAAGTCAAAAGTTTGTCTTGGTCTTGCTTTTAATGCTCTGCAGAGAAATTGATCAATTTACACACAGCAGAAGTCTGTGAGAGCAAAGAGATAACACACAAAGCTCACAGCAGCTTATAAAGGTACTTGTAATACATTTCTTGAGATAAGAAAATAAAGTCCCTTGGGCCTCACTTCTCAACCAACCAGGAGGCTGCCTTGAGAGTCGCCCTCATCGCGCCATTCTGTATCTGCAACATATCACCAATTTCCAAGGATTTCACACGTTTTTCCATATATATTTTTCTAAAACTGTTACCTGCAGGCAGACAGGTATTCATCCATATGTCCAAGTCTCACGCTACTGAGAGGCCCCTAGGGCTGTTATACAAGAAGACCTGTTTTTCCCCATTGATCACATAGATATATTCACCCTATAGACAAAATCATACTGACTACTTAAATCTTATTGATTACTAATATATTGAAATATTAATGGCGTATGAATGTGTTAATGTGATGTTTTAATTAGACAGATCACAACTGAACTGTCTTTCTTCAGAGTGAATGCGCAGATGATTGTTGAAATTGCCATTTTCCTCAGTGTGACATGAGGTTTGGAATTTCTTTCCAGAGTGAGTTTGCAAATGCCGTTTCAGGTCTGTGTGATATGTGAAACTGATGTCACACTGAAGACACTTGTAAGGTTTCTCTCCAGTGTGAATTCTCATGTGAATCTTAAGGTTTCCTTTAGCTGTAAAGCTCTTTCCACAATTAGGGCAGGTGAAAGGCTTCTCTCCAGTGTGAACTCTCATGTGATTCTCAAAGTTTCCTTTGTGTGAGAAACTCTTTCCACACTGCTGACATATAAAACAGTTCTCTCCTGAGTGACTCCTCATGTGAAGATCAAGGTGTCCTTTACACCTGAAACTCTTTTCACACTGATCACAAACAAACGGCTTCTCTCCAGTGTGAATTGTCATGTGGCCAATTAGGTACTTTTTCTGTTTAAAACTCTTTCCACACTGAGAGCATTTAAATAGCTTCTCTCCAGTGTGATTTTCTCTGTGAAATGTAAGATTTTCTTTTCTTTTGTAGCTCTTCCCACACAGCTTGCAGGTGTAAGGCTTCTCTCCAGTGTGAACACTCATGTGGAATTTAAGATTTTCTTTTCTTGTGTAGCTCTTCCCACACAGTTTGCAGGTGTAAGGTTTCTCTCCAGTGTGAATTGTCACATGGGCATTAAGGTGCCTTTTCTCTTTAAAACTTTTTCCACACTGAGAGCATTTAAATGGCTTCTTTCCAGTGTGAATTCTCATGTGAATGTTAAGATTTAGTTTTCGTGAGAAACTCTTTCCACACAGTTTGCAAGTGTAAGGCTTCTCTCCAGTGTGAACTCTCATCTGGACTTTAAGGTTTCTACTTTCAGTTTTTTGAGTCGGCGAGTAAGTACAAGATTTTTCCCCAGTCATGAAATAATGACGTTTCTCATACTGATTTTTCTCTTCCATTACATTCAGTTCTTGACTCTCCTCATTCAGCGGCATCAGGTCTAAAGTGAAAGGAAACAAAGACAAGTTAACACCAGTTTAATGGCACCAAGACATGAAAGCTTTTAGACAGTAAAACATTAAATTCAACCACTAGATTCTATACCCACTAAACAACTAAAATGTAATTCTCAGAACCTCTTGTCAATATTGTTAATTATTTGCTTTCTTTAGGACACGTCCCAAATACTTTCAAGCTGGCAGTTATCAAAGCCCTTATAAAAGCCCACAGTAGAGCACTGGATTGGGATCCTGCAGGTCCCAACACAAATCGGGATCAGCCGGTTTTACATTTGCTCCGGATGGGAGTGGGAGATCAAAAATACACAGCAGTCAACAATAGTGATGTGTGTTTCGCGATCAAATAATTTTTTTGAACCTGTCGAACCAATACACCAAATCAGACTGAATCGTTCAAAACAGTTCACATCTCGAGTCAGCACAATTTTCTAAAGTTATTTAATTCAAGTGTATTTTTTTATTTACTCAAACCACCAGTACACTGAAGCGAGAACTGTTTCTTTCGGACACGTTCGATACTGAGGACCAATGAGCTGATGATACTGAGCATGCCTGTATTTTTTATTTACTTTTTATTTACCTTTTATTTTATTTACTCAGAGGGACAAAAAGCATTTTTCTTAAGTGTTTTGTTGAACATCAGAAAGTGTAACAAAATAAAACATGTTGGAAACTTGTTTAACACAATTACTGTTGCATCAATATCTTTTTAAAGATAGGAAACACAATGAAAGGATCATAAAACTGTCGATCTTTTATTTTGTTTCATCAACAATACATATTTTCAGGAACAGCTTGTTTAATTTCTAAATATTTTTATATACACTGAACAAAATTATAAACGCAACACTTTTGTTTTTGCCCCCATTTTTCATGAGCTGAACTCAAAGATCTAAGACTTTTTCTATGTACACAAAAGGCCTATTTCTCTGTTGGGTTAAATTTTTTAATTACATTTTTAACCCAAAAGTTGGGTTAGTCCATATTTGACCCAAAGTTGGGTTGAAACAACCCAGCATTTTTTAGAGTGTATGCGAAGGAGATGTGTTGCACTGCGTGAGGCAAATGGTGGTCACACCTGATACTGACTGGTTTTCGGACCCCCCCCCGGACCCCTCCAATACAGTAAAACTGCACATTTTAGAGTGGCCTTTTATTGTGGGCAGCCTAAGGCACACCTGTGCAATAATCATTCTGTCTAATCAGCATCTTGATATGCCTCACCTGTGAGGTGGATGGATTATCTTGGCAAAGGAGAAGTGCTCACTAACACAGATTTAGACAGATGAATGAACAATATTTGAGACAAATAGGCCTTTTGTGTACATAGAAACAGTCTTAGATCTTTGAGTTCAGCTCATGAAAAATGGGGGCAAAAACAAAAGTGTTGCGTTTATAATTTTGTTCAGTGTAAATTTTGAAGTAAATGTTTGTAAATGATGTAAAAAGGTTTTATGGGTGCAAAGTAAATATTTAGTTAATCAGTTAATTATTAATCAATAGAAACGTATTAAACACACTGGAGAAATGCTTCAGCTTTTTAGTTTTGTCGACTGTATATTCAAGTTGCAGCAGTTCTCGGCTCAGCTGACTTGCACATAGTGCTACAGCGGATCTCAATTCAAGAACCAGTTGCAGCAGTTTTCGAATCACCAAAACACTAAATGGAGAACTGTTTCTTTCGGACATGTTCAATATTGAGCTGGAGTTACGAGCATGCGTGAAGCTAGCACTGACAGTTGAAATTTAGCTCAGGAGCATTCAAATTGCTTGTAGATGTTACAACACTTCAAGTGAAGACAACCTGTGGCAAATTCAATTGAATGGGTATGATTTGGAAAGGCACACACATCTTAATAAAAGGTCTAACAGCTGAAAATGCATACCAGAGCAAAAACCAAGCCCTGAGCTCAAAAGAACTGCCTGTAGAGCTCAGAGACAGGACTGTGTCAAGGCGCAGATCTGGTGAAGAGTTCAGAAAAAAGTCTGCTGCATTGAAGGTTCACAGAAACATGTAGCCTCTATCCATAATGGAAGACATCTGGAACAACTAGGACTGTTCCTAGAGCTGGCCTCCTGGCCAAACTGAGCAATTGACCGTTCGCAAGGGCTTGATTGACAGGCGATCTGACCAATCAGAAAGCGGATATTATGTGCCGCCGCTGCTATCCACCATCTTACAGCTACGGCCGATCTCCATAGAAATCCATGTTAAAATGGGGTAAAAAAAGATAGACTGACTTTTCAATATAATTAAATATAAACATGTGGAGGGTTAAGCTGTGCTGTTGTTGGCTGCCACAGTAACGGCAATAAGCTAAAGGAATTCCTTTAAATACTTGTTTTGCATACCAGAATAACTGTCATGTCCGGTGCTGTATGCATGGCTTGCAGCGCTTAAGTTAAAATACTGAGTGTGAAGTAATAAAATACTATGTTAAAATGTGTGCTCTTATCATTCTGTGGACAAAATTCCGTGAACTTTGCCGCGGTCGGGAGCTGTATATTCACATGTGCGCTCATCTGTTTTCAATGCAGCTAACCTCTCGTCGCTTCATGTCGTCTTCCCACTCATTAAACTATGACAGGTCCTTTACTGCAAAAAGACGGTCACTGCGACACTTTAAAGTGATGGAACTATGGCGCCATGTGCTTTTTTAAACCATTTTCATAGGTTTCACGTTATATTGTTGGCTCTGAAAATATGTAAATGCACATGCCCAGTAGCCTCAGCTGTCTACTCTCGGACAGGAGAGTAGATTAACTTCGGTGGACTTAAACTTAAAATGGTGTGTTCCGCGGTTGAAATAAAATACTTTCTGATGTTTATTCATGTTCATTTCGTGCTTTAAGTAAATATGAAAAGACGGTCGGTTCACGTGTTTGAACTGAGGCAATACAGTGATCTGTCACGACACATTAAAGAGCCACAAAACGGTATTTATTGTTTGAATTTCTTTAAAAATGACACAATTTAAAAGCCGAGACTCCCGAGACCTTGTTTCATACCAGGAGTAACCTGCTTTGTCTTCTCTGTCGGTGTGTTGTTAGATTCCTCTTTGCTCTGCAATGTATTTTCACTGCCGCTCTCACACTACAAATCATGTTCTCATGCAATGTTTGTTGGGGATGGCAACAGTAACTAAGGAGGGCGGGTCTTTGCGAACGGTCAATTGATGGAGAAGGGCCTTGGTTAGACTGGTGACCAAGAAGCTTATGGTCACTCTAGTTGAGCTCCATGATCATATATGCAGATGGGAGAAACCGACAAACATCACTGCAACACTCCACCGATCTGGGCATAATGGCGGTGTGGCCAGACTCACGGTGTGTTCCAAATGGCCAAAAGTAAAGCGCTATATAAATAAAGGTGACTTGACTTGACTTGACAGAACAGGACCGTCTCCTCCTGAGGAGTCAGCTACAGAACAGGACCGTCTTCTCCTAAGGAGTCAGCTACAGAACAGGGCCGTCTGCTCCTGAGGAGTCAGCTACAGAACCAGCAGTGCAGAGCTAAAGAAGTGGCTCGAAGATCATTGCATTGAAATTTAGGATCCGTGGCCAGGCAACTCCACGGATCTCAATCCCATAGAGAACCTGTGGTCTGTACCCTTAAAAGGCGAGTGGACAAGCAAAAGCCCACAAATTGTGATCAACTCCGAGAACTAATAAGGCAAGAATGGATCGACATCAGTCAGGATTTGGCCCAGAAGCTAATATCCAGCATGCCAGAGCGAATTGCGGAGGTTATCAAGAACAAGGGTCAACACTATTAATATTGACTCATCATATTTTTTTGCCAATAAAAGCCTTTAAAACTTATTATATGCTTATCATTGTTTTTCAGTATTCCATAGAAACACATGGAAAAATAATCTACAAATAATGAAGCAGCAAACTTTGCAAAACACAAAATGTATGTCACTGCCAAAACTTTTGGCCATGACTGTACATGTTACAAAATGCTCTCTGGAAGTGTCCTTTTAATAATATTTTTCAGGTTTAAATTTAATCATAATGTGGCATAATTGTCAAAACTGATATGTCTGTGTAAATGAAGTGGTAAACTTTGACAAAATGTGATTTTTTTAATGCAATAACAATGATTTTTCAACTATCTGAATGTGAGTACTTAAGTTAATCCTGAGAAAATATCTATATAAGTGATATAATGAGCCAATGAGTGATCCTTTGCTGCCATCTAGTGGTTGTATTTGCACTCCCAGGGAATACAGCATGGACATGTACTGTTTTTATTTTTTATTTAATGAACAGTTTGATTGACAGCATTGGTCCCAGAGGCAAAGTTGTTCAGAATGACGAGGTCTATCATATGATCTAGTGTTTGTGTGATTTTTTTGCAATGTGAGGTCATTTACTGTAGAAATATTGTTTTTGAGGCCTTTTTAAATGTTATAGTGCCACCTATGGTCCGATCTCCATGAAACTTTGCATGCTTGTTAAGAGTCATCTGTTACATGTTTTCACCAAGGTTCGTAAAGTTTTAAGTTTTTGTTTAGGTTTTATAGGCTTTTGGGTATATGTGGCCACGCCCCTTTTTATAATGACCCCGTTATAGCTAACCAAAGGACAAAATTCAACATTTTGAATTCTGAACATTGATCGAGAGTCCAGATAATTGTTATGTAGTGGTTTGATCGAGATTGAGCGAAAAACCTAGGACTAGTTCGCAAAAGTAGGTTTTCAACATAATTGAGAATATTTAATGAAGGATTTGATTGACAGCATTAGTCCCAGAGGCAAAGTTGCTCAGAATGAGGAGATCTATCATATAATATGAAGATCTAGTGTTTGTGTGAATATATGAGCATGTTCTACAATTTGAGATCATTTTCTATCGAAATATTGTGTTTTTGAGGCCTTTTTAGCTGTTATAGCGCCACTTATAGTCCGACCTCCATGAAACTTTGCATACTTGTTAAGAGTCATCTGACACGTTTTCACCAACTTTCATAAAGTT